ACCATGACTTTTTTTCAATAAAAACTGTATATATTTAAGGTTATAACATGATGATTTAATATACGTAGTGAAATGATTACTACAGTCAAACTAATTAACATATATTCTGACATTGTTACTATATTGTGATGAAAGCACCTGAAGTCTACTGTCTTAACCAATGTGCAGTATTCAGTACAGTATTATTAACCATAGTTCTCACACCGTGCCTTAGATCTCTAGACTTATTTGCCCTACGTATATGTGACTTTAATCTTTGACCACCATCTCCCCATTTCCCTCCCCACCTCCCCACCCCTGGTAACCACTGTTCTATGCTTCTATGTATTTGACTTTTTTTTCTTTCTGTGCCTGGCTTATTTCACTTAGCATCATACCCCCTGGTTTCATCCATGTTGTTGCAAATGGCAGGATCACCTTTATGGCTGACTAATATTCCATTTTCTATACATACCATCATTTCTTTTTTTTTTTAAGATTCATTTATTTATTTGAGAGAGAGTGGGGGGAGGGACAGAGGGAGAGGGACAGAGAGAATCCCCAAGCAGACTCCTCACTGAGTGTGGAGGCCAACACAGGGCTCGATCCCAGGACCCTGATATCATGACCTGAGCCGAAATCGAGAGTCAAACCCTTAACTGACTGAGCTACCCCCCAGGGGCCCCATTTGCCATAATTTCTTTATCCATTATTTGTCAATGAACACTTGGGTTGTTTCCATGTCTTGACTATTGTGAATAACGTTGCAGTGAACATGGGAATGCATATCTCTCTTCAAGGTACTGATTTCATTTCCCTTGTGACTATATCTAGAAGAGCTATTACTGGATAATATGGTTGTCCTATTTTTAATTTTTTGAGGCACCTCCATACTGCTTTGCCCCAATGAGTTGAGCTGAATTATGGAAATAAAGTTACATAAAAGGGCAAAGAGGTAACGATTGATTGTTACTTGAGAATCCTGTTAGCAGGCGTCCGTTTTCAGAGGGACAGAGACACAGGACCAAGGGCAGACAAGCAAGAAGAACATATGTAGCATAATTACCCCGGTAAACTCTAAACTCGCAGGGCCTCTCAGCAGGAGCTCTTAAGCTATTACAGCATTTTAGTTTCCAAGAAAAATTGTGCACTGCCGAATCAGCCGTGGTTGGCCATTGCCGATTTTCATATTCATTTATGTGAAAAGTCTTTTCCTTCATGGAAACTCTTCTCCTTTATGAGAAGTGTCCATGCCCAACAGGGACATTTTAGGTCATCCAAACCACATTGCATTCTCTCTACAAAGATAGGCCGGGTTGCTCCCAACACCAGGCCTTACACATTGAGTTCTTCTGGAATGTCTGTCAATGATAACAGAGCATATTGCCTCCTGATAGGGTTATTGTACAGGAGGGTAGGTGGGATCTCTGAGGGCTCCCTGAGCTGGGGCAGTGGTGGACTCTTCTAAACTGTAGATCCTTGTCTCTGTCTCAGAGCCCAGCCAGGGGGCTCAATAGCCAACGATGAAGCCTCTTCAAGAGCATGTTTGTTCATCCAAGCATTTACTCAGCATCTGCTATGGGCGGACCTCGGGGCTGGCCACTGAGAATTCAAAGATGAGAGTAAGACCTGAGATGTGGTCCTGCCTTAGGGAGCTCGAGGACAGCTCAGGGCAACTTGCAGTGTAGTAAGTGTCAGCAGGGAGTGCTACCCACTTCCCTAGGGGAACAGAGCAGAGCACCTACCCCACCTGGCAGAAAGGAGCTGGGTCTTCCTAGTAACAACCCCAGCTGGTCTTCAAGGGTGTGCCAGAGGCAAGTGACAGGGGAAGGACAGCCCAAGTCAAGTACATTTACCTTGGTCCAGAAATAAAAAGTGCCCAGTGGGGAGCGAACTCTGAGCATCTTAGCATACAAGACCCCGAGTGTGGGAAATGGGGTTGGAAAGGTAGGGTCATTGGATCCTACCGGACCCACCGGGTTCTACTAAATGACCTGCAGAGAGTATTCAAAGTCAAGACTGAAACATAAGGTTCAGTTCTCAAGCCTCCTTCCCTTGAGTGAATCAGCAAAATAGTTAAGAACACAAACCTGGAATCAGATGGATAGGCCTCGAGTCCTGACTTTGCTCCATATTAGTTTCTTTGCCTTCAAAGTGAGAATTGTACAAGGGACTGTGACCCCGAGCTTCGTAGCAGCTGAGCCGTAAACATCCCTAGACGCAAGGTGGTGAAGAGAGGCTGGGAGCAGTTACCAGAATCTGAGGAGGAGTGCCTGGTAGGGTCTGCTCCCTGAGAGGAGCAGTGGTCCTCAGTCAAGGGGTGTGTGCTGGATGAGAGGGGCCAGGTCAGCACATACCCTGGCCCTGAACTCCCCCTTCCTTCACCATCTCCACCAGGGGCCCCATTTGCCAACCTCTACCAGATGTCACGGAGTTCACTCCTCATTCTGGTATCCCTATAAGTCAGCCTCCCAGGGCACAGAGCGAGTGGAAAGTGGCTCTAAAGGACGAACAGAAGGTGTTGGGGACACTCACCTCCTGCAGGGAGTGAAGTTTGAGTGAGATAATACCACAAAGCTCTTAGTGGCATTTTTGACCCAAAACAAGTGCTCAGTCAAGGCTAAACTATAATCTAGCAGTACATCTACAGGAGTGGGCCACAGGTAGATAAGATGGCAAAGTGGGAAAGACTGAAGGTATAAGGGTTCTCCTTGGATGACCATCCGGAGGCTGGGATGGAGGCAATCCTTGAGCCCCGGGGACGTGTGTTGCCTACAACTTGGGCGTGACCCTCAGTCATTGGGTTGGCAAGTTATGTTATTCTGAACCACAGACTTTTAGGTCTAGAACAGTTGGGAACGGCTTTATCGTCTTTGAGTACACCTGGTGAGATAATTTGTACATTATTTAAATGGTTTGATACATAAAATAAGAACATAGAGGTTCCATTTGCAAATAGGTCCAGACCACAAAATTCCACGTTCTGTATATGGAGATAAATATCTCAAAGTTGGTTGTTGTTTTTTTTTTTCCTATTTGGACCCTCTGCACAAGCCTACTAATGGAATAGCCTGGCCAGGGAGCTCTGTGAAATTTCTAGATCTGGGGAAGATTCTGAAACTTCTATTTGTCCTTCTCTTCTTTTCCAATCCTTATTTTAAAATCCTCTTTCTTAAGGTTAACTTAATCTCCAGGCTAGATCCACAGCCTTTTCTCCCGTCCTCCATATAGCCACATAAACAGTATCCTCTCCCCTCCAAGAGAGCTTAAAAACCAGAAGAAATTGGGATATACATTAAGAAAATTGGCACAAGAAGAATACATCTTTCTTGGACTTTTCTTAAAGATTTTTTTCCCTTGAGAAGAAAGCCAAACTGTAAAGTACAACACACTCAGTTGTTAATAAACAAAAACCTCACATATCTAAAATTTATTTTCCAAGACGAACTAACATTTTGCTCTGTCTCCTTTTCCTAATATGCACATTTCATTGAGCCCAAATCCTCATTATGGGAAACATTTACATATCCGTCTCCCGGCTCCACGGTTTCCTGGGCAGTAAAATATGCCCTCAGTGGTTTCAGAAGCACTGGCTCATACTCATTTTGCCAAAAGCAGCAAATCTTTAAAAAATGAAATTTTCCAGGCACTTAGCCGCTAAATCAACCTTATGGGGATAGATGATTTTGAATCTTATCGGCCCGTGCAATGTCTCACAGCCTTTAAAAATGTCTCAGCCTTCCCCCTGGGCAGCGTGACAGGTGACACTCTGTCACAGCAGGAGTAGCTGAAGAATGAGTATACCAAGTCTGCATTTTGAACCTTTCTTCGGTTTCTTATTTGCCGACAGCCTCATCCCTTACAGGCCTGTGGATTCCCGTTCATATGTTTTCATTCCACAGGTCTCTAGGCTGGAGCTGTGTTTTGAACCAAGTTTGGTGATCTGGGGAAGTTCAGAGCTGCCACGGTGGGGGCCACCCTCTGGGCTGCCGTGGGCCCAGAACCAGGTTCTACACGATGCAGCTTTGTGCCCAGCCTTCTAGAAAATCCAACCTTGCCTCTGCTCTGCCCGTCCCTTAGAGCTACAGCCTAACTACCACCCCTTCCCGGATGCCCTGCCTCACGTGGGCTCAAGCATGTACTAGATCCCTCCCTAGGTTCCGTAGCCATGCAAACAGGTTGCAAGAGGGGGTCATAGAGGCACAGCATCTTCAAGCCAGAAAGAATGTTAGGAATTTCCTAGTGTGGCCTCCTTGTTCAAAGGAGGAAGTCTTGATCCAGAACATGCGCCAGTGGCCTACGAAGGCAACAGGTCACATCACAGCAGAAAGCAGAAGTGAAGTGAGAACACAGAGTCTCATGGAATGAATTGTACTGGGGGCGTTTAATGAAAATTTCTCCTCCTGTTTTGTTGGTCAGATGACTGTCCATACCTCTAGAACTACATGTTACTTGCACCAACATCCCAATACAGTCTTCTAAAAATCGATCTTGAAAGGGTTCAGTGGAAAAGGGGTGATAGTATTATGATTTGTGCCGATTTCTGCTTTTATTTTTATTGTATATTAATGGCCCAAACTGTAACCTTCCAAATACCCAATTTGGGCATGGTCGGTTGGTAATGTATATTTTAGGGCAACTTGTAGCAAGTTTGGTTACCCACCCATCGACTGTTGGGGACAATATTACAGACAATAAGATCAATAGCTTTTACACACAGAAGGTGTAGGGGTTGATTTCGGAGTATATGGGGCTCTGGTTAATAACATGGAAAGAAAGGTGGACTTACATATGTGTTTACTTTAGATCATTACCTTTTTGCGATTTATCAAATCACAGCTTTAGGTCTCTGGCACCTCTGCCCCTAGAAGGTGTGATTTCTTTGCTCAGGTTGTATTTGCAACACACACAGTGCAGTTTTCTCCGCTTGAGTGAAGACGGTTCTTTCCTCCAGGCAGAATGTCCAGTGACCACAGCAGATATACAGCCGTTACAGATCCTTACACTGTCTTGTCTTCCAGGCTCTGTGGCTACCCTCCTTTTTATGATGAAAATGATTCCAAGCTCTTTGAACAGATCCTCAAGGCAGAATATGAGTTCGACTCCCCCTACTGGGATGACATCTCTGACTCTGGTAGGTCTCTTGGCTCCCCAGGGGTGGGACCCTTCCACCCAGACCACTTGACCCTGACAGACCCGGGGGTTTCAGAGTGGTCCTGAGGCTCCCAAGGAAGCTCCATGAGCCTACATACTTGAACTTGACTTGCAAAGCAGAAGGCAGGCTTGGGACATCTGACCGGAGCCACACTGAAGGATGGGACCAACTCCTCCATCATTCTAAGCCATGCCCTGATCTGAGCGCTCCAGGACTGAAACAATATTAGCTAACATTTATTCAGTGCTTACTGTGTGCCGAGCACCATAAGGTCTGCACGCGTGCTAACTCACTCAGTGCTCAGGACAACCTATCAGATGGGTGTTACTAGTATCCCCACTTGACAGGTAAGCAAACTGAGGCCCCAGAAGGTGATATGCCTTGATGGAAGCCACACAGCTAGTAAGTGGCCAAGCTGGGATTTGAACCCAGACCCTCACTCCAGAGCCCACATCTCAGCTACTGTGCCACACTGTCCCAGAGACATTTACTGTTTCCTCCTCAGGGATAAAGATCAAAACCAAGGCTTAGGTAGACTGACAAGTCTCTTGAGCCTCAAGGTCAGGATGGTAACAATAGTCCTCCCTACCACAGAGGGTGGTACAAGGATCAAATAAAATAATAAATGGGGCAGAGCCCTGCTCATCCTGGTGAGCTGTTCAAATATTGCCTTTTAATATGTGTTACTTCCTCCTCACTGGAGGCACCTGCTTTGTTCCTCAGCCTTCCAGAACCTGGGACCTGAATACAGTTCTCCAAGGCTTGCAGGGAAGAGCCGCATGGGGAATATTTTATTTCTGAGCTCAGGAGGGCACAGCCTTGCCCCCGGAAACCCAGTCTTGTGGGCAGAGAGCTGCCAGGCCCTGAGATGCCACGGGTCTCTGGCCTGGCATACAGGTGTCATCGTGTGGTTCTGTAACCCAGTCCGTCATGTTCTCAGGGTCCCACTTCTGGGTTCTACCCTGACTGGGCCTCCTAGCGCTTCACACTTCCCCACCGGGGCATGTCTTACTGCATCTCGATGTCCTGCTCATTGCAGGCAGCTGAGTGGGCTGTGGGGGGCTTCTCGAGGGCTTTGTCTCCACAGAGCCTCAGGCCCTGGTGGCCTTAGCAGAGGCTGAGGGGATTTTGTTGAATCGGTGATGTCTAAATCACAGAGAGGACATCAACAAAGCAGCATCCTCAGGCAGCAGTGAGCCCAGCGAGAGGCACATGATGACAAAGATGTTTGATCCCTGAACCAAAGATGTCACTAGCTGCCCCAGGGAAGGGCTTTGAGCTGGGCAGGCAGGGTCCCAGGCCTGGCGTGACTGCCTCCTCCTTCACTGTCCCCTCTCGCAGTGCCAAGTCTTGGCTTCCCTTTCTCCCAAATGCCGGTCCCCGCCTGCCTTTTGTGTTCAACGTACCATAGGGTCAGGGGCGGGGCTGGGCTGTTTCTCACGCTTCACGCCATATTCCCAAAGACCCTGCGGCAGCAAGTTGTTACATCTCCAGCTGCACCCTGATTCTGCCCCTTGTGCTTTCTTTCTAAACAGCGAAAGACTTCATCCGGAATCTGATGGAGAAAGATCCAAATAAAAGATACACTTGTGAGCAAGCAGCTCGGCACCCATGGTAAGAAAAGTCACCCACGAGGAAGGACGCGCTGATGCCTTCCCAGGCTAAACCCCCTCTCAGCCGTTCCTAACTGTGGAGTGACCGCATCTCGTTCCGACCACTGGCTTTCATCCTGTCCCCAGGGCAACACTTGAACTCTTCCGTTCCCTCGGACACAGCCTCCTGAATGCAGGGATGACAAGTACACTGTGCAAAAGATAGCTGTAGGCTTTTCATTCTACAGGAAGTATTTTAGGATCATTTTTATTGAAGGTAGTTCTCCAGGGAGGCATTAAGACTGGAGTTTTATTCCTTGAGCTTGCCGTTCAATAAGTAAGTGAATTGATGTTATATATTCTTTTGCTTTTAAAATGCTTTTTGGGGCACCTGGGGGGCTCAGGCAGTTAAGCAGCTGACTCTTAATCTTGGCTCAGGTCTTGATCTCAGGGTCGTGAGTTCAAGCCCTGTGTTGGGTTCTAGGTGGGTGTGGAGCCTACTTTAAAAAAAAAAGAAAAGAAAAGAAAAAGGAAATGCCTTTCAAGTTAATGTGTCTTCAACCCCAGAGGCATTCATCGATGGCTTGTGATATTCTATACTAGGCTTTCAGCAGTGCCCATGATGCCATCTTGTTTTTGCGCCACTTACTAGGTTTGAACCCAGCTTCACTATCAATTAGCTATTACTCTGGGCTTGTACTTAACTTCTCTGAGCCTCAATTTTCTTATCTTTATTTTTTTTTAATTTCTTTAGAAGATTAATTTATTTATTTTAGAGAGAGCGAGAGTGTGGATGGGAGGGGCAGAGAAAGAGTCTTTAGCAGACTCCACACTGAGCAGCATGGTGCCCGATGTGGGGCTCCGTCTCACGACCCTGAGATCATGACCTGAGCTGAAACCAAGAGTCAGACGCTTAACCGACTGAGCCACCCAGGCGCCCCCAATTTTCTTATCTTTAAAATGAGAACAAGGATACCTTGTTTACAGAGTTGATGTAAGAAATCATTGAGATCATGCCTGCAAAGGGCTTAGCTCAACGTCTGGGACATAGTAAATTCTTCGTTAGACTGTTCTCATTAAACCACCAGGAGCATCCATTTGGAAACAAAGAGCAGGAATTGTAGAATATGCAGTATGATGGCAACAAACAGCCTTTGGCTTCAGGAGAAATTCCCCTAAAAAGCGCTCTAGGAAACTACCCCTTGCTTGTTTCACCACTGTCTGTAGCATTTCCTCCCGAGCATCACATGCTGGTTAGTCCTCCAAAGGGCACCTGCTCAGGGGAGCGTCGTGAGCTGGTTTCATCAGACAGACAGTCCCCAACTTCATGATTTTTTTGACTTTACGATGGTGCCAAAATGGTACCTATTCAGTAGCAACTGTACTTCCGGTTTTGAATTGCGATCTTTTCTTGGGCTAGCTGCATCAGGGACAATCTTCTCTCGTGATGCCGGGCGCTGGCAGCCATGTTTCCCATCAGCCACACGATCACGATGGTCTCCATCCGATACACTGACACCCATTCTGTCCCCATACAGCCATTCTGTTCTTCACCTTCAGTGCAGTATTCAGGAAATTCCATGAGCTACTCAACACTTGATCATACAAGGAGCCTTGTGTTAGATGATTTTGCCCAACTGTAGGCTACCGTGAGTGTTCTGAGCATGATTAGGGTAGATGAGGCTAAGCTATGTTTTGCAGGTTTGGTATATTAAATGCATTTTCAACATATGATAGTTTCCACTTAACAATGGGTTTATTGGGATGTAACTCCGTCTTGAGTCGAGGAAGCTCTATATTTTAATCTATGACCACAGTTGTCACTCATTGAGCATCAATTATTTCAGGTACTGTTCTAGTTGCATTAAAATATCATCTCATGTTTTTCTTTATAATAACCCTGTAAGGTAGGTTTTGTCTCCATGTCAGAAATAAGAAAATCGATGTAGAAAGATAAAGTAACTTAGCCTGAGCCAAGACTGTGGGACCACTACCTAATGGTGAAGCCACCCTTGTTTCTGGTCAGAACTGATTCCAAAATAAATGCTCTTCAACACCACCCTGTCAGGAGAAGTAAAAGGAAGATGGGAATGGCAGAAGGGGAGGGAAAGGTGCTTCTGAATAAGGAGGCAGATTTGGTCGTATCTATTTTTAAGAAGTTTAAAATAAATGATATTTTATTTTGTAGCAAGTTACATTGGACAATGGGTCAAAGTGTGTGACAAAGTTAGTAAAGCTTTTCTTACTTCACCAACAATACCAACAATGGCCTTCAAAGCCGTAGGAGACTTTGTCTTCTTCCAGTTTTGTTGAGGTTAGTTGACGTACACTGTATATAAATATATGGTGTAGAGCATCATGACTTCATATTTTGCAAAAATATGCAAAAAAATCTGCATATATTGCAAAATGATTCCTGCAGGAAGTATAATTAACATCCACCCCGTTATGTAGGTACCAGAAACAATTGTTTCCTTGGGATGAGACCTTTTAGGATTTACTCTTCAGCAACTTTGAAATATATGCGAGAGCAGGGTTGACCATAGCCATCCTGTTACATCGCAGCACGTATTTCTCTTGTATGAGGACTAAAAGTATGAGACTTTGGGGATGATCTGATGGAGGAGGAAAGTGATGTCTAAAGAAGGGAAGCAGTTTTCCTCCGACATGTTCACTCATCCAGCCTTGCTCTGTGGAAGACAGGAAGGAGGCCAGCTGAAACCTAGTCCCTGCTTCACTAGACAGTTTTTTGAAAAACCAAAGAAGGGGGAGGTCATTTCACTGAGGGGCCTGGCAGAGGACTTCCCAGAGGGGCCGAGCCTCATGCCATGAGGCCTTCACCAGGCTATTGAGGGAGGAGAGGAGTTGCAGGCGGGGTGAGCGGCCTGGTGCATCATCAGGGCCTAACCGCATCTCTGTCCTGGAACCACATACTCCATATTGCTGGAGGGGCAATGGACAAAGGAGCAAGGCAGGAGGGAACCAGAAAAGAAGGCATGGCCATCGGGGTTCTGGTGCGAGCTCCAGGGTCCCCACCAGGGTAGTGCAAGCTCTGAGTCCCGGTTCCCACTTCACCCTCTGTTACTGCGTGGGCGACCTCCCAAGCCCTGGCCCCCCGCCCCGTGTCAAAGTGAGATCATGAATAACGGCAGTACTTATCCTCTAGGGCTTTTCCAGGGATTGAACGAGACATGACATACAAATAAGAAGAAGAGGACCTGGTACCTAATACATCTCCCATCTGTATGAGTTGCCATTAATTTATCATCACACAAAGCAATTTGTACTTTTCCCTTTGGGCGGTGGGGGCCCTGACAGGTTTTAAGCAGGTGGTCAGATTTCCATCTCAGAAAGCTCAACAAGCTGCAGGATCGGGATGAATCCCTGGCGCTGGGCCAAGGGAGGCAGCAGGGAGGTGCTGGCTGGAGGTGGAGTGGAGGCTGGCCCAGAGAAGGGGGGAGGGGGCCTGTCCGGAGCCACAGGGATGGAGCAGACAGCACGAGGGACACGCCAGGGGCGGGGAGCCACGGCGCTCAGGGCAGGGGGCCCGGAGGTTATTGCCAGGGTTCCAGTGGAAGACACTGGGCCAGTGAGATGCCTCCACTGGGAGGAGTAGCAGCTCGTGTGTGCAGCAGGAGGGAGGGGCCAGCCGTCTCAGTGCAGAGCTGAGCTGGGCGGGGGGCCGCTTTGCTGAGTCTGGAGCCCAGGAAAGAGGTCGGGCTGGAGACAGAGACTTCAGGGTCCTTGGCCTGGGTCTCCTCAGGATGCAGTAGCATGTGAGCTCCTGAGCAAATTGATGCCTCTTTACTTCAAAGCTTCTCTTTTACTTCGGACGCTGTATCATTTCTACCGTGCGTTTCCCAAGTCCCAGGAAGTCAACCATTAGGAAATGGTAAAAATGAACGCAATTTGACTCAAACATCAGGGAAATGCCCCCCGCTGCCTGCATTTCTGATATCCTTGTTTCTTTTATGTAAAACTCCCCGGGCAAAGAGCACAGATTCAACAGAGAGCTGGCAGAAAGTAGAGTCATGATTCCAGGGAAGCCCGGCTCTGTCCACACCGCTGTTCTGGAAGCTGTGTTCTTGGCACATCAGTTCTGTCCAGAGAACATGATCTCTTATTCTGCACTTGCTCTTCCAACTTAATCAGGGCTCCCTGGAGCCAGGAGGGCCCCTGGCAGTCACAGACACCTTCCCTCGGCCCAAAACAGGCACTTCGGCTAGGACAGGGCTCCTTTCAAAGCTGTGCGTGTCAAGGGCAGTCAGCCCATCTCGCTAGATGTTTCTGTGCCTCAGCCTGCTGGCCGGGTGGGAGCCCATTCCTCCTTACAGGGAAGCACCTTAATGGGGTTTGTCTGGTTCAGGTTGTTCTGGACCTCTGTCTCTAGTTATGTCGACACAGAAACCAAAATGATGATTTCTGGGCATCCATGCCCCAGGCAATGCTTGGCAGTGGACCCACCTGGGGGGGACATCGTGTGTCAGCCAGGCCAGGGTGGCACCTACAGCTCTCTCCTCAGTGCTCACTGAGACCCCTCCCCTCTTCTGGGCTCCAGCCTGCCAAGCTGTGGTTGACTGTAGGAATCAGGAAGCAGCCCAGGAGTCTGAGAAACTCCTGTCTGGGGTACACACAGGCATCACCAAGCCTGTCTTGAGCAGGTAACTAGAAAAACGCAAAATCAGAGCTGTGGAGGTACAGTAGACTAGGTACAAAACAAAACCCCAGAAGGCAGGGAGAGATGAGTTTGATGATTTGTGTATGGAGAGCCAGACAGACCTCGCAAAGGTTGATTTATGTGAATGCCATCTGCTTTGTTAGCAGGGCGTTAAAACTGGAAGGCAAAGTGGGGCTCCTGGCTAGCTCAGTCTATAGAACATGCAACTCTTGATCTCGGGGTTGTGAGTTCAAGCCCCCTGTTGGGTGTAGAGATTACTTAAAAAGAAATTATTTTTAAAAACCTGGAAAGCAGAAGAGACATGAATGGAATGTGGGTGTCCATAGCTTTATATGTGTCTGTGTATACAGATTTATAAGGAAATTCCCCTGGGTCGGAGGCATTGTTTAATTCCTAGGACCATCGAGGTACAAGCAGAGTCCCTTCCAATCCTAACATTCCACGCCTCCAGTGTTGTCGACGAATAATGCTGAAGCAGGTAGTGCTGAGCATGGAGAGTGGCGTACGTTGTCGCTGTAAACTCCTTGGCTCGTGGTCAGCAGCAGGCATTTCCGTGATGGGGCCCATTTGAGGAAGACTGTGTGCTGTCATGGGCCAACCTCCCCAAGGAGAGGGCCTCATGGGAGCCTCTGGGCCACGTCTGCCCTACTGGGTCTTACTCAGCTGCAGCACGCCCTGGGAGGGGGGAAGTAAGCACGGAACATTCCTGAAATAATTGGAAGTTTGCATTTTCCTTACATCTCAGCCCATGCTAACCCACAGAGAAGGGAGTCTCTCTGACCCCCTCGCTGGTCTGTTTGGTTTGGAGCATGGCTCTGCCCTGCGGTGGTACTCAGCCTGAGGCACCCTGTACTCCTACCACTTCTGCATGCTCGTTTCCACGAAGGTGCTGGCCACCGTTGAGTTGGAATTGGCCTTCTTCTCTGAGGACGTAGCTTTTATTTCTTTTTAAGATTTTATTTATTTGAGAGAGAGAGAGAGAACACCAGTAGGGTGGGGAGGAGCAGAGGGAGATGGAGAAGCAGGCTCCTCATTGAGCAGGGAGCCTGCCTCGGGGCTCAATCCCAGGACCCCGAGATCATGACCTGAGCCGAAGGCAGACACCCAACGACTGAGCCACCCAGGCGCCCCGAGGATGTAGCTTTTAAAAAAGGTGCAGGAGGAAACACTCACATGAATTATCTAGAAGGAAAAGCTTGATAAAGATGTCCGCAGTCCCCTAACCTTGTTCCTCTTGTTTCGCATGGATTTGCCCGATATTCTATTTCACTGGTGTGTTTCTGGGGAAAGTGGGCAACTGGCAGTTGTTGGAAATGGAAGCCTGGTTCACTTGAGTCCCGTTTCTGAGCGTCCTCTTGGTTAAGTCTTTCCAGCCTTGCTGGGAAAAAGATGGGAGTCTGTGCTGGGAGGCGCGGGGCTTGCTCTTAGCTAAGAATATCGGACTGCATTCTAAACTGCATCCCAGCCTGGCACAGACTAAAAGTCCAGTCCTGCACCATGTTTTCTATTCCAAAGTGAAAGGCTGGGGTGGGTGGGGACATATTTTTTACCTGGGGATGATTTCTTGTCTGAATAAGGCCTAAGCTTGTTTCCTTCATATCTTCAAATGGTTGGACATCACATGGTGTGGCCTCCAGGCTGTTTTGGGGTCCAGGGCCATGTGGGTCTGGGAGATGACAGGTTTCCTCACTAACCAGCCACCTTCCAGCCAGAAAGGATGTTCCCAGCATTTATCTGCCCCTTAACCTCCAAGATGCAAAAATTTATTCCATGGCGGGGGGGCGCCTGGGTGGCTCAGTCGTTAAGCATCTGTCTTTGGCTCAGGTCATGATCCCAGGACTGGGATCAGCCCCAAGTCGGGCTCCCTGCTCGGCGAGAAGCCTGCTTCTCCCTCTCCCACTCCCCCTGCTTGTGTTCCCTCTCACTGTCTCTCTCTCTGTCAAATAAATAAATAAAATCTTTAAAAAAAGTTATTTCATAGGTATCGGATACCAAGCTAGAATTTAATAGTTGTTAAATGAAAAGGAAGATATGGAAGGTTCTAAGCGCAGAAAAGAATGAGAGCAAAACACAGCTTCCTCTGAAACTGGGGGGAAAGCCAGGTGATTAGTTGTAGTGGAGGGATGGTGCTGAGGTTGATGCGGATGTGTGGGAGAAGAAGCGAGTGACCTCCAGGTTACCAATGAGACTGGAGATTGTGAACCGAGATGGGGGGGGAGGTAGGAGACCAGGGAGAAGGGGAGGAGGACCGGAGGGAAGGAGAGGTGGTAAAGCAGATGGAGGAAGGACTAGGGTGAAGGTGGTAATTCGTAGGTAGTTTCTAAGGACAGAGGTGAAGAGCAGACCCGCCTTCTTCCCTGCTAATAGAGGGCTATAGAACAGCAACAACGAATGCCCAGCCAAGTGCCGAGTGGATTTGGTCCTGGCCATTCTGAGAACTTTTCCAGGAAGTGCAAGGGGAGAAGATTTGCCAAGCAGGGGTGAGCTGAGGCTGGGTGCCCTCTCACTGAACACAGAGGTGAGGGGGCACCCGGTGTGGGCAAGGACAATGTGGCCGAGCCTCATTCTGCTGGAATGGAGCCGGAAGGATGTTCTGGGCCCAGGGTGTGAGCGGGTCCATGGAGCAGCGGGCCTGGAGAGGACACAAAGACGGAGCCTCAGGCAGGGAGAAGCTGGGAAGATGGCCCTGGGTAGGGATCTGGTGGTCAGGTTGCCTTGTGTCTTCTGCTGTTGCAGGAACTGTGGTCAAAAGGGAAGAAGTGGGAACCAGGCAGAGAGGTCCACGTATCCCCCGGAGGGTGCAGTGTCTAGAAGGGGGACAGGACTTTGAGCATGGTGGTGGAGGATTGTGTGCATTCAGACAAGAGCCACGCAGCCTGGAAGGGCGCCGATGAGCCACCCTTTCAGAGAACCTCGGGACGGGCGCAGGACTGAGTCTTTCCTGGGAAAGCAGCGTGAGACCCAGTATCACAGCAACCCCCCCCGCCCCCCGCCCAAGAAAGCCTTTTAAAGAAGCATCATTGCCTCTGTTTCAGGATCGCTGGTGACACAGCCCTCAACAAAAACATCCATGAGTCTGTCAGTGCCCAGATCCGGAAGAACTTCGCAAAAAGCAAATGGAGAGTAAGTCTCTTGCTTTATTCAATTCCTGGTGAATCGAACAAATCCCACAAAATTTGCCCTGCGGTTGGAGCATTTATTATTTCTAAATGTTACTATCACCTCAGTTGGATGAAAATCCCCAGAACCTCACCCAGAAAAATCTTGCTAATTTTAACTGATGAGGATTAAGATGCAAAGGGGGTGTCATGGTGTGGGGGGGTTAAATACACGATTTAATATTTCCCCAGCAACAGTGCTGGTTCTCACTCAGTTGCTGTTTCTTAAGACCATAATTCCTGTTGTCTGCCTTTCCATTACTGGAACTTTGAATAGTTGACTTCTATTAAAATGATACGAAAGCGGGAAGGGAAACCCTGTTTAGGAAAACCTAATCCCTAGGCCCTAATCAGTGTGCATAAATTAAGAGCTGGCTGTTCTGCCCCGAGAGGCTGTACAGAAACGAAATGAATTCCACTGACCTACTTTATTCAGAGGAAAGGCTATGAGTTAGGACGCGAGCGCCAACAACAGGAAAATAAAAACTACCTTAAAACCTCATCGTAGAGTATCATTTCAGATACTGTCTTATTATAACATGCCTTTGATTCTAAAAGTCACTTCTCTAAAATTACGGAGAGAATTGGTTTACATTCATTCTGGATGTTTGCTATGTCAGAAGAAGAGTATTTGTTTAAATCTCCAAAATACATCTCGGCAGGGGATAGGGGCACAATGATTTCGTGTCATTTTAGAAGAAGGGGCAAGATGAGCTTCCTTTCTAAAGTACCGTGAGAATGTTTTAAGACGTCCGAAATGCTCGGGGTAACAGGAGAAACAACTGGACACAGCCTGAGTCTTTTCGAATGAGCCGGACTATTTTGTGCGCTTTTTCCCTTTCTTATATTTCAGCAAGCGTTCAATGCGACGGCCGTCGTGAGGCATATGAGGAAGCTTCATCTTGGTAGCAGCCTGGACAGTTCAAATGCAAGTGTTTCCAGCGGCCTCAGCTTGGCCAGCCAAAAAGATTGTGCGTATGCAGCAAGGACAGAACTTTCCAACTGGTATTGCCGACACGTCTGGGGTGGGGAGGGGACTGGCGTCCACGAGCACCCGGTCTTTGATACCTCATCCCACTGAGCGTCCCAACAACCCGGGGACCTTATTTAATTTAGAAAGAATATTTCCTAAACATTTCATTATCGGATATTCACACAACAGTGAGGATTGTTATTCCCAGTTTGAGATGAGAAATCCATGGCTCAAGTCCCGCACAGCCATGTCTGTCTAGACAAAAGCCCAGACACTTTTGGATCTGTGTCTCCTTCCCCCGAGGTTCGCTTGCCATCGTGCGTCATTCTTAGGGGTTGAGGAAGGGATGGCAGAGACTCATGATCTCCTGATCTCATTGGCTTTTAATATGTTTTTGATACTTGGAGCTGAAGTATGTGACGTGCATTGGCTTTGCTGTAGGGTATTGCACGGTCCCTCATCTTTGCGTGGATGGTCGCTTGCACTCGTCTATTTCTCTTTCCCATTCCCCACCACCCTCTGGTGTACTTATCTTAATTCTATATTAGGCCATCCCAGGGGCTCCTGTCCATTTCAGAGCAGTTGCCTTGATGGTGCCCATTGGCCGTTACCTCCTTGATCATGAGGCCCTTCCATTTGGTCTCACTCTGGGCCTCACGTTTCACCCAATTACCCTCAGAAAAGGGTTCCCTCCCCCTCTCAATAGTCTTCCCATCACATCTGGGAAGGTGAGCCCTTACATTTTCCCCAGAAATCTCCATGAGCATCCCCTGACCCAACCGCACACCGTGGTAGACCCACATATGATAGCTCTCCCTCTGTCGGAGCCCACAAAGTTCACAGGCAGATGCGCTACCGGAGCTGAGCTTCAGGGGATTCATCCCACATCAGGATTGTCTGATGCCAACACATGGCCTGGGGAGCGTGGTGGTGCAGCCTATGAGGCATTTTTCTAGGCCAGGGCTGCTGGAATAGGAGAAAGAGGTGAATCCCCATGGCGATCTCTCTGTGTCACAGACACCTCTTAGCAGGAGTAGAGACCACACACAAAACAGGGGGCGGAAGGGGGATCATGTTCTTTCTTTATTCTTCAAATCTCTACTCACGGAGCTGTGGTGACAACAGCTCTTATAATGACAGTGTGTATTCAACACCTAGCCTGAAGCCTCGTACATAGTAAGCACTCAGTAAGCAGCACCCATCCTATGAGGGTGCTAAACCCTGTCATCATCAACTACAAAGCCCTTATGATCATGATAATGAGAATGGGAGGGAAGAGTTGGGCCTAAGAAGAAAGCATTTTAAGGACCCTTTGCAAATGCTTTCCTACAGGTAGGTAAAAATTTAGAATCAAGTGTATAAAAGTTTGCCCCCCACCCCCAAACCCTGCCGTGGGAAAGGGGAGCGAGTATTTTCTTCTGGAGCTTTGACCTCCTGTGTCCACTGTCCCCCTGCAGGTCGGGCACCCTCCACACTCTGTAGTCTCGTTTCTTCCTCGTCGGGGGTCTCTGGAGTGGGGGCAGAGCGGAGACCGAGGCCCACCACTGTGACCACAGTGCACTCTGGAAGCAAGTGACTGGCTCTGGAGGCGGGGCCCAGGGGCGGGGCCGGGGAAGGGGGCCCCCAGCGCCACCAGCCACTCTGGAGCGATCCCACCTTGCATGGTGCACCTTCCTGCACAGGACTGGAAGACAGAAGTTTTTTATGGCCATATTTTATACTGCAATTCTGAAGCGTTCATTTCTCACAAACTGTACTGACTCAAGGGAGCTGACGTAATAGGATCTGGTGCTGTACATACGAATCTTGCAGAAGCTCTGACAGAACGGACCTCCCGCGTCCTCTCCCCCAAGCCCTGTCATTTCCGCTCTTCTGGGTATGGGTAACCGTCTATGTTGTATTTTTTTCATTAATGACAAAAAAGGTTTCAACTGGATTATTTAAGTATCAGTAAATATTGCGCATTAGGGTTTTATTTTTTACCTTTTACGAAATGCGCTTTCTGATCTACACTCCTGAATCCCATGACCTGTATCTTTTGCTTGTCAGTAGTAGAGTTTTATGTTAACCTTTAAGAGATTTTTTTTTTTTCCCCACCAAGGGGAATGTAAAGGTATTTTTTAAAATTCTAATAGGAGGATCAAGCATCTGTCTCCAAGGCGAAGAGTGCACTTTATTTTCCTCCTCTTTCTTGCCCCTTCCCTGGAGGGGCGGCTCTCTAAGAAAACGACTCTGCAGTTCCTCGGGGCTCTTTTGTCTCCAGGGCCTTGGGAGGGAATCTACAGAAAACCTTTTCCAGCACCCCTCCGATCCGCCCCTGGCCAACCAGGGACCCTAGGGACCTTCTCTGTCACTGGTCAGAAATACAGAAACCTGCTCCTTCCCCGAGACTAAGGCTAAACTTCAGAGGCTCCACGTGCTGTAAAGGGGATGCCCAGCAAAGACATAAGAGCCGCCCTTCCACAAGGAACCAGATGCCATTTTGTCCAAAGGGAGCTCCCCGCCCAGCCCCCATGTCTCCCGAGGGTAACGCAGAAAGCTCCCCTCTCAGCTATGCAGTTTTCAAGTTAATCTCTCTGTTTTTTAAAAAAATGCATTTCTAATCTTACACTTAAAATGGCCTCTGACTCACATAAGTCGTTTCTGCAGATTTTTATCCGGTCCTTCTCTGAATGTTATCCAGGCAAGGAGAGGGAAGTGGCCTTGGAAAAGAGTCCATTTATCTGGGGGGTGGTAAGGAGAGGTGGCCTGCCGAGCAAGCGGGGCACTGACCACCACAGGGATGGCCAGAGACGGCTTCCGCCAGGCCCGGCCGGGGCCGCAAGGCCTCCCTCTGACCAGGGCAATCTGAAAAACCAAAGACCTGTGATGATGGAGTCACCAAAGGGCCCAGGTTGCCTGGGAGTGAAGAATTTCTTGGGTTGGAGGACTTTCATGGTAAATCTGGCGATGTCCCAGGCAAACTGGCCGTGTTGTCAGTCCGTGTGGTGCATAGGTGTGCAGGATAGAGTGCGGCGTGAACCCAGGGGCAAACCCTTCTCAAGGGGGCTTCCAGGACGCTCTCTTGCAGAGGCATGCATCCCTTGGCCCTCCTGCCCATGCAAGACCATGAGTCTGCATTTTGCACCGTGAGCCTCAAGTCCGCCGCGTGTCCCTGTAGATCTGTAGGTCTGCCTTACTGGTAGAAAAAAATGGCATGAAGATTAGAAAGAGTATCTGAGAAAACTGAGGTCTCTCTCCAGGAGCTTTATTAGGGTGTTGCTTACTAACAGGCGTAATGGAGCATTCCATAGTATCAGAAAACATGTAATTAGATGTTGCAGGGGGTGATCATTTGCCCGGATGGGGTCCCTGTAACGGGTGACGGAGTAGTGATCGGTCCTTTGGCCTGTGGGCTCGATGCAGTCAGTTGCATTGGGAGAGCAACTTTTGAAGCCACATTCACTGATGGGTAATTAAATTATTTCCTAGAGCTGATATACGGGACGCATGTTCTATTCTATTAGTTTGAAGGTATGTCTTACCTGACGCGTGCAGAGGAGGTGAAAGTTGAGGCCTGTCACAAGCATCCCTTCTGTGGTTTGGGCCAGCCCCTGGCCATGCTTGGCCCGTAACGCTTCAGGTCTCCAAAACATTGTGCGAGGAGACGGTGACTGCTTTCAGCCCAAAAGGTAAACTCTGTTGAACTCAACATCAGGCAAATCAAGACCGGTTCAACGCCACCAGACTTTGGTCATCTCCTATTGTTTTAGGAAGAGGAGAAAAAGAAATTCCATATGGAAGAACTTCTGCTCTTTGAGAGAGCCTCTGTGGCAGAAGTAGAGAGGTTCTCTTTCAACTGCATTTGGTATTATTTATGCTTTATTATCATATCACACGACGAGAGAACCCAGAATGTGCCTTTTGTTAAGACCTGCCGAGTGGGGCGGCTGAGTCCCAGGCCCCTCGCCGATGTCAGATCCCACCTGTAGGAGCTGAGCATCTCCTACGTGCCCCAGGCTTCCACTCCCCGTGGAAGCCAGTGTGTGGCCGAGGCTCAGGGACGGCCACTGGTCCCACCGTGGGCTTTCTTTCAACCCCAAGCTCCCCGTTGGTCTCCTAAGCTTCTCAGAGCAAGTGGATAATTTTTCCTACTTGAATAGGACATATTGAAATCGTGTCCCTGAATGGTCTCTCCCTCAGCTGCCTATCCGTCTGTCCTTCCCTCATGTCCCGCTTTTCACCTCCTCCGTGAGGCAGTAGGCAAAGCTAGCACTGGTCTGAGACAGGCAGTGAGTGTGCGCCCACAAGCAGGCCCCCCAAGACCAGCAGCTGATCGCTCTTAACCAGGGTACCCTGGAGTCCGGACTGCTCACGGTTCTCCCTCGCGAGCACACCAGGGCCTGGGGCGTTGGGTTGGATGGGGTAAAGGCCGCTGGAGCCGAGAGGGGCAGGGAGTCCCGATGGGAAGCACAGAGGACCACGGAATACCCTTGAGAAATGGAGATGCCCAGATAGATGGACCGCAGCTCTGTTGCCGGGGGCAGGTCTCCCCGTCTCCCGCTGCCTCCAACCCCGTAAGAGAGCAGCAAGGATAATCTCCCCCTTCGTTTCTCCTTTGTAAAGGACTATGCATGCCAAAAACAAAAGGGCAGGGCTTAGTGTTCTTGACTATGGCAACAATTCTGGTCACTTCTGCAGCCCCACCTCAAGAGCAGGGAGTGGCGCCACCTCTCTGCATGGGAGCTTGTGGCCTTGGAGAGGGTCCCGCTCTCCAACCAGCGGTTAGCATGATGTTCAAGGAGCTCAGCAGGCCAGCGTGGGGCAACACGAGATGGCTTTGGCTAAACAAGCAAGGCTCTGGCACTTAGGAAGCCAGGGCCATCTGATGACAGGGATTGGGCATAGGACACTCAGACTCAGTTTACCTGCCCGGCACTGGCCTCATCTTATTCATTTGTCTGCCTTGGTGTCCAGCGTATCCTGGACGGGTTCCAGGTGGGAGACAAGAATTCCCCTTTAGAGTGAAGGTCAAGAACACCAGGGACAAAGGGGAGGGAACCCCAGGGACCCCTCCTGAAAGGGCGTTGACCCTCTCTCTCTCTCGAGGAGTGACAGCTTCATCTGATTAACCCATGGGATGTGACATTTTATTAACAATTTTAGACCGAAGAGACCATATCCAGGGGAGAGAACTCGGTATTTGAAGGCTCTGTGGCCCAGCAAGAACCATGGCTCCAGGGCTGAAGATGGGGGGCACTCGGGTTGCTGCAACACTCCCTACCCCGTGTGACTCGTGAGGTTTCCCTCGGATACACGAAGGGAAAGCCAGGGCCGGCAAACGGCAGTTCCTCCTCCTATCTCATAAACGGAAATAAGATGTACTCTTTCCCAAGGTCACACACTCACTTCCGGCCAAAGAGATGAAGGGCCTCTGTTTCAACCAATGCACGAAACCTTTGCATGTTCTTCTCAAACAGTACTTCCGTGTCCTGTCTCCCCACACTCGGCAAAAGAGTTTGCCTTTTCCTTAAACACATTCCAGACCAAACACTGTTCAGTTTGTTTCAAAAAAAAAAAATTGTGTATACCTGTATGTAACCCACCGCTCTTTTCCGGGGGGGCACCTGGTCCTCGGTTGGGGCTGCAAGTGCACCTGACATTTGCAAACAAGCGTTCCAAACCTTTGGTTCTCAGAGTTGAAAGTGTTGAGCTAGAAAAGGTGAACTGGACAGAGTCCTCCGAGGGGGGCTTCTTTCCCGAAGACACCAGGAAACCCCCGTCTGCCGGGGAGCTGGTCAAAGGGTCCACCGCAGACAGCGGACAGAGCGGGGAAAGGAAGACAGAAGCGCGCGCCCCCTTGTGCCCGTACCCCACCTGGGGTCCCAGCGCATCACGGTCGCAGCCTGGCCGAGGGCCCAGCCCAGCCCCACTGTGAAGCTGGCTGCGCACGCTGGCCAGGGCCCGGCCCGTCTCCTGCCCCACGCAGACTCAGACCATCACTGGAAGGCATAGCAGCCCTTCCCGGCCTTCCCTGCCGCCTGCGACTGGAGCACCTCGGCATTGGGGCTCCGCTTCTTCGAACCCAAAGGCTGTGCATTTGGCCGCCAACCCCGCAGCATGTGGCTGCCAGGTCTGGTTTTGTGAACAAAAGCAAGTGTGGAATGGCTTCTCGGTGTCTGTCTCTCTCTCTGTGGCTCCACCAAAGGGACAAACTGTTGCATTCACCCTTTGTACCAACGCCGCTTCTGCATTTGCCGTATCTATTTTTAACCTTTTGGTCCCCGGGGAACTTCTCATACGGTGATTATTTCTTCTGATTATTTACGGAATTATTTTACTTAGAGGTGATTTTATTTTCTTATGGACAGGAAAAAAAAAAAAAAGAAAATGAGAGGAGTGTTTGAGGCTTCGGTCATAGAGACAAGTCATCACCAGGGACTCCAATGCCCAAACACAAAATAAATTAGTCCTCAAAGGCAAACCTTAATCTGGGCAGACGGAGATGGCCAGGCCCTCATGTCTGCCCTGCAGGGCCTGGGGCAGGGCTGGCAGCCGGGCTCTCCAGAAGGAGAAAGAAGGAACAAGAACGTCACTCGTCTGGACATCGGTCGTACACACAGAAGCCTGCCGCCCTCCCTCCGGGGCCCCAGCGTTGGAGTGTATGACGAGCCATCCGATGACAGGAGAAAGGCTGCAGAGCATTTTGTTTCCAAAGACTGGCGGCACGTTTCAGAGAACATTTAGCTTAGTGCCACTTTCAGGTTGGACGACATAAAAGGCACATTCTGTCCAGAATAAAATTGGGAACAATTTCTTAATTGGCCTTCGTCACTTCTCTGAGCCCTCCCACCAGCGAGCGAGCATGTTTTCCAAAAGCTTACAACTGGCAAATCCAGGAATGTCCCCGCGTCTATTATTACGAGGCTTGTGATTGGTTTAATTTTCCCGTAAAAAACACGTTTGTCCCAAAGAAGGGAAACTGTGCATTTATTCCATGCATGTAACAAACTGCAAGAAGTTTAACCCACATAGGTTTGCGGCACTGCAAAATTGTTCATGGGCCTATGTAGCAAATGATTCTCTGCCTTGACAATCATGTACACATA